GAGATTTTTACGCAGGGATTACTTCCCATTCAGACGTGCATATGAAGATTGTTCAACTATGTATTTATTTATTTATTTATTTATTTATACATGCATTGTATTTTATCTTTATTTTTAATTTTTTGACTGCCAGAGGTCTTCCACGGAAGCTGCTCTCAACCTGGCGTTGAGGGCAGCCTACTACCCTACCTCCCCCTTACCCCATTGCATATGGGAATAGGGTTTTGTTGTTGTTGATGATGATGATGAATTTAGGGATAAAATTAGAATATTCAAAAGTTTGAGGACTAATTTAGAAAGAGTGTCGTAGTTTAGGGATGCAAGTGGAATATTCAAAAGTTCAAAGACCAATTTAAAATGAGAGTTATAGTTTGAGAACATATGATACAATTAACTCTATAAAAAGTTGCGTGTCATTCGCCAACTAAAAAAATCTTCGTCATTCTTTTTTTTCTTCCACTATCATCACTAGGCCCGTCCCTGAGCACGAGCAAAAGCGGCAATCGCCCATGTCCTCACTTGCTCAAAGACTAAAACTATAAATTTATATATAATTAAAAAGGATAAATTATTTATTTAGTTATTCACTTATTATTTTATTTCCGTTTTGGTCATCAAACTATTATTTTTCTTTAAAATCATAATTAACGTTACATTTTATTTATTTATTAATCATTAAAAAATTAACAGCACCTTAAATTGTTTTTTTTTATTTTTCACTTAATTATTTTTTAATTTTTTCAATACTTGTTATTAGGAGTCTAATTTTATATTCACCCCAGGCCACTAAAATCTCAGAAACGGGTCTAACCACCACCTCCATAAACCACGTGTTAATGGCTTAACGGCAGTACTTCATGGGTTTCAGCATTACTTGGTAATTCACTCCTGTGATAATATCATCTACGATTGTCCCTCCAATGGGCAAAGGCAATGCAAGAAAGCAGAGGCTTTATCTTTTTATAATTCAGAGCATTTTTGACCAGTTGTTGCTGGCTTAAGTTGCATTCGAGTGGTTCAGTAAAAAGAATACCTGTGAGGGATGTACTTGAGGCAGCTTCAAATCACCTGCCCCCAATAGAAAATTCAATTACATAAAATTTGGATCCTACTCTCAATTGATCCGCAAACTCTTTTATATCCGAAGTTATACTATTTACCTTTTTTCGAATTAGGGTCACTCTCTCCATAACCTGGTCTGTCGAAAGAGACACAATGTAGATCCCTAATCGTTCAACGAGTTCTTGATCGAAGTTATGAGGGCTAAGAACTATGGTAGCAAAGTTGTGTTGTCTTAGTTCAGGTTTTAATCCATTTGACTTTATACATTCTCGTAGTTTGCTATCGTTGACTTCTGTGTATCATTCTCTTCAGGTTTCTTCTTTTTAAATTTGTCTGGGTCTTATGTTTCTGTCTATATGTAGAGATTTTTACGCAGTGATTTATTTACAGGGATTACTTCTCATTACATACGTGCGTATGAAGACTACATATGAAGTTTGTTCAACGATGTATTTATTTATTTATTTATACATGCATTACATTTTAGCTTTATTTTTAATTTACTGACTGTCGGAGGTCTTTTACGGAAGCTGCTCTCAACCTGATATTGTGGTAGCCTACTACCCTACTTCTCCGTTATCCCATAGCATATGGGAATAGGGTTATGTTGTTGTTGAGTTCCTGATCTAAAGTAGAAACGACAACAGTCAAACGACGCTCAATCCAAGCATGTTTTATTTAGCTGCATCACGTGGAACTCCACTCTCTTGGCAAGCCAAATGCAGTCCATATCGATGCTGCGACAGCAGGACCATCAGGAAAGCTGCATATTTTCGGCGTTGGTGGCTTAATGGCCTGAAAGTTCCCACAGACAAGGCCAATAGTATCTTTGCGAATAAACCTGGAACTGAAATTGAAGGTTAATTATTTAGTCATCCAATGTCAAACATATATCCATATACATCCAACGGCTGTTGTTTATCACATGAGATCACGTGGATCGGTGACGTGGGTGGAAGCTGAACTTGGATTGGAAGGCTTCTGAACTCTAGATTTATGTTGACAGGAAGAAAGAAAAAACCTCTGGATTTATGAATTTCTTTCCCTCCTTTCTTTTCAAATTCCATGGATTTGAAAGAAAAAAAAAGGTCTTTAGTTTTTTTTTCACGTGCCAACGTCCTTTTGGCTTTCTGTAAGGCATTTTAGATTTATCAAAACAAATGGGAATGGGCCACGTAGATAACGAGGGATTGATTTTAGAGGTATAGTCGACTTTTAAGGACTTACATTCATGATCGTACAGCACTATTGACCCCTCCCATAGTTGTCCCCCGCCGCACTTTCGTCGATGTCTAGTTTTCGGATGCGAACGTTATCCAAACCGGACAATCGTTTTCAGATCAGAGACTTTTTTTATTTTTTATTTTACAAATTTTAAGTTTTATTTAGAGAAGAAAAGAAAGAAAATTTTAAGAGAAAAAATGAGATTACGCGATAGATTTAGAACTCATAGCCGAAAGGAATGTAAAATAATAAATATGAGTAATTTAATCAATTGATCAAATATATTTACTCTTATATCAGAGACGTTAAAGTCGTTTGAGGTGCTTTTAACGCAAATTTGATTTCATGAGATCTGCAAATAGGAGCAGACTTAAATATTTGTATTAAAAGAGTGAATTTATAAAATTTCAAAAAAATAAATATGGTTGTCCTCATCCATCCCTTGAATCTATTCCTGCTTATAAGAGCTAAAATAGAGGCAGAAGCAGGTTTATTCGAGAAAGAAATTAGAACTGAAACCATTTTAATAAGTTTAATGCTGTGTTTTTTATATTTAGATTTGATTTTAATTTTAAAATTTTATTTCTTATATATCATCTGCTAAATTAATTTGTTTATATCAGTTTTGGATAACTATGATATTAACAACCATAGTCTGGTTTAAACCCAACAATGACTAGACTATTAGATTTTTATTATACGCGTGCTCTCAAAAGGAAAACTTGCTACACTATTTTATTACAGCATAATTATCTGTGAAGTTTCATCTCAGTTGATTAAAAATTAAAAGAAAAAGAAAGATTCCTCTACGAAATTATGTAAACACAAATAATTTGTCAAAATTCAAAACTCTAAATATAGGCAAAAATACTACATAACTTAACGGATTTACATGCAAATTACGAGTGCCTGTTTCAATACATTACAACAGATTTCCCCCAGCTCCAACATCGATATCAAACCCAAAAAAAAATTAAAATTGAAGAAGAAAGAGCCTAAAGAATCAATTAGTGGAGAAGAGGACTAAACAACACCTAAAAAAATTGAAAGTTGATAAATATAGAACAAAAAGATGAAGTCATGCTAACTTCGCCTTTTACTTTAAGCTTCAGTGCTTTACTTGAAAAGCCACTTTCGGCGGTCGACCGCGACCTCGCTTAACTCCAGGTGGTGGAGGGGCAGTGGCCGGTGTTGTTTTAGCTATCTTTGGGGGGCGTCCGCGTGGCCTTCCGGTGCTGACAGGGGTTTTGGGCTTAGGCGGAGCAGACGGACCTTTGGGAGGACGACCACGGGGTCTAGGCGGAGAGACGACGGTGCCAGGTGGAAGAGGAGCTTTGGGCTTAGGTGGACGGCCACGTCCACGCTTGGGTGGAGCATTAGGGTCGGGTCTCATGTAATTGTTCTTTATCATCACGATTTGACCGCTGTTTTTCATCTTGTTGAGGTGGTGGGAAAGTAGAGTGGTGTGAGCCGCTGGGAGATCCGAATGAGTCGACTCGATGTGCTTCGCTATTGTTGACTTATTCGACCCGGCTTTCTCATTCAATGCGTCTATGGCCTCTAAAATCATCTAGAAAAGCAAACCAAAACGAAAAATAAGCTAATATAAAACGACGAACCCAACAAAATTTCGGGGTAAAACTCATACCTGAGGATAGTCTGGAAGTAAAGATTGTTGAGCTTGGGGAGGACCTTGAGTTTCATTAGTGGCTACAGAAGCCGCCATTGAAATTTGAAGCTCCTTTTCTCTTTCTTTCGTCTGAGATAAAAACAAGAGAAAGCGAGGGAAAGACTGTTTTGTGAAGGGAGAGGGATAGGATGTTGCGAGCTTAAAAGGTAAAGAAGATGGAGGAAGAAGAAAGGCAGGAGCTATGATCCAACGGTTGGGAATTGCTAAATTTTCGGTTTACATCCAACGGTTAAAGTTTATTATATATGAGATCACCAGGATCGGTAACGTGGCAGGAAGCTGAAATACGATTGGAAAGTTTCAGAAGTCTGGGTTTACGAATTCGCAATAATATCAAAATTAACACGTTATATTTATCAAAATAATTAGTTTAATCTCTATTCTTATTTTAAGATAAAAAATCTTTAATATTTAATTAAATAATTATTTTAACTCTTTTTTTGAAATATTTTAATTATTAATATTACATTTTAAGTTAAAATAATTATTTTAAAATAGTAATAGTTTGTTAACCGACAATTATTATGAATGAATTTTCCTATCCTAAAATAAAACATTATATACGAAAATGTTTAAAAAATAAAGATTAAAATGAAAAATATTATGTAAATTTTTTTCGACATTATATCCCGTGATTTTCATCAATTTGAAAGAAAGAAAAAAGTTTTTTCCCCAACGCCCTATTGGTTCACCAAAAGGTTTTTAGAGTTATTAAGACGAATGGAAAAAGGCCACGTGTATTGGAATCACGAAGGATTGCATTTAAAGGTATGGTTGACTTTGAGATTTGAAGGGAATATAAACATGATCGTACAGTATCATAGTCCCCAGCCTCGGTTGTCTCGCACTCTCTCTTCTCTGTCCAGTTTCGACTCCGAAGGTTATCCAAACCGTACAATTAAAATCAGAGACAATATAAAGTGATTGACAGTGGTCTTGGTCCAAATTTGCGAAATTACCTTATAATCATTAAAAAATATATACTATCTTTTTACATTAATGCAATTGTAAATTGTATTTTAGCCCCTTCAAAAATGGCATGTTTTACATCTGCGTCCTAAAGAACAAAAGTTACTAACGCGTTAATTATAAAATACACAAAGAATAGCCCAAAATCTCCTGCAAAACTTAACTCTGAACTGGGCGCTTTCCATGCGGATCTGATGTCAAGGGGCTTGCAAGAGCTGATGTAGAAGCAGAAGCCGTATTAGTATTAAAGGTTGATCCATATGAATGGGAATCCGAAAGACCAGACGTTCCAGCGGTGGAAGAGAATCCAGGAGGCCTGCGGGATCTTCGGTATCGAGTACCCGCAACTCCGGGTCTTGTAGGCTCTTCGAGACTGCCAGGTCTTTTTGACAGCAGAATAACAACCCGACGCATGTCAGGTCGTAATTGTGGATCACCTTGCGTGCATAGTAACCCTATTTGAATGCACATAGCTACTTGTTCGGGTACTGCTGATGAGACCAAGGCAGAGTCCATGAACTCCAAGCATTTGCCTTTCTTGTAAAGCTTATAAGCCTGCAATAACAAGACCCCACAATGCCATTGATCAAGTCTTTTCTCTTAGAACCTTGACTTTTCCATCAAGTTAATGTTCGAATTTCTTTGCAACTAAAACTTTTCTTTATGCTTATCGATGTCAACAGGATGAAACGAACGATTCCAAGTTCAAACATGTGGTGGGGTCATTATATACCTAACTTGTAAAGGTTAAATAAATATGGCACGTTTCCACTCGGAGATCCTTAAAAGTCCACCTGACAGCAGATGAACATGGTGCAAAAAACTGGTGCACGTGAGATCTTACAAGACAAACATGCAAGGACAGACCACCATGAATAACAAAAGGTTTATCTCGATCGAAAGAATGATCGGATTGTAATATCTGTTCTTACCCAATCAAGTAGACCTTGAGCATCGACATCCAGGTTGAAGGATGAGTTTTTCTGCCCGCTTATCAGTTCCAGAACCACAACCCCGAAGCTGAACGCATCTGCCTTTTCTGAGAGACGTCCATTCATGACGTATTCCGGTGCCATATATCCACTGTTTTCCAAAGATTCATAAATATAACTCTGTTAAATAAAATTTTAGGGCAGAGGAATGGGATATCATGAAATTCTCAAAAGAGCTTGTCATATTATCAATTAAAGAAGATGCTATATGACATACTTGGTGCCGGCTACACGGGTGTTGACATGTGTTTGATCCTGGGGGAAGAGTCGAGCCATGCCAAAATCAGAAATCTTGGGGATCCATTTATCATCGAGTAATATATTACCTGCTTTGATATCCCGGTGAATGATGCGATTGTGCGAGTCTTCATGAAGGTAGAGCAAACCCCGGGCCACACCTGAAATTATTTCATACCTCCGCTTCCAGTCAAGCTCCGATTTTCTATTTGATTCTGCATGAAAAAGACCATCACCATCCTGATTATTACCACCACAAAAACCAAATAATTAATTCTATACTCATCCGTGAAAATTCAGTGCAATATCTATGATGTTATTTGTTTGTGTTCTGATATTATAATCAATTTTGTTGTTAAAAACCAGTTTTCACCAAGAACCCCCTAGTTTCTGCTAGAATTCATTAACAGATTACAAACTACATATAACCCAAATTCATATTATACAATTTGGATAACTCTAGGTGACCAAATCTTGAAGCATTTATCCACACTAAGTGAACAAGGATACAAATCGACGCCGCAAAATCGAGAATAGATCAATCAAGTGTGCTGAAAAAGAAGAGTAGGGAAATTAAAGCAGCATGACAAGGTTCAGTCCACACTGGAATCCATTGAGATTTGTTTCAAATAGATTAACTGGAACTCTTATTCATCTGTCTACCATTGATTCTCATCATCTTTACGCTATCATACAGCCAACATTTCCAACTTGGAGGTCACAAATTCGAGTATAGAAATGAGAGAGGTGATCTTAATGGCATGGGAGAGGACTAATTCCTGTTGTGTAACCCAAAGATCATATAGTTTCTAAACAGACATCTAAAAATCTTGAAAAATGATGGAATTACTCATTTACACTCTATTCTGATTACTGGAATCTGCTATGAAGCATAGATGTGTAAATGGTGAAAAACAAAAGAAGTTAACAGCAAAGAAATCACGGCAGCTTACTGAAAAGAAGCTTGTCTAGACTCTCGTTGGTGACGAACTCATATACCAAAAGCTTTTCCTGGCCATGAACACAGTAACCTAAAAGATTCACAACATTGCGGTGCTGCACACGAGCTAGCAACCGAGCTTCATTCTCAAACTCCCTTTTACCCTGATTTGAGCTATGAGATAACTTCTTCACTGCAATCTCTCTTCCATCATTTAGTTTCCCCTATAAAAATATTCACGTACGAGACATTTGTTACCGTCTAGGTTGATTAAGAATAGAAATCAGCATTTTGAAACCAGAAAACAACTTAAGAGCAAAAAGGTTGTAAAGCTTGGTAAAAGTTCTAATAACTAGAAAAGGAAGGTTTAATGAACCGAGCTTAACAACAAAATTTCAAGTTTCTTGTGCCATTCCAATTGCAAATTTGCATGCATTGACTCTTGTTCTTAGCATCTGAGATTAGACAAATCTAAAGGGGGAAGCAGCTGAATGGTTTGACGGGGTTGAGTTATTAAGGGGAAATGGTTCAATCATTATTAAAGCTGATATTCGAAATGAGATATTCAAGTAGTTTGAACCTTTCAGGACAAGGCATTTGCAGTATTTGTTGTTCTTCATGCTTTTTATATGCAAAAGTTGAAACTTTGAATACCTAGAAAGTAGAAAAATTCGTCCTTTAAAGAATCTGTAACTGTTTAGCGAATCAAAGGGCAAACCAAGTTCAGCAAAAGTTTTCCCTCTATTTTCTAGGCAACCAAACAAGAGTTTCAGCGGTGAGATCTTACCCTATAAACAGGTCCAAACCCCCCTTCACCGAGCTTCTGATGATGGTGGAAATTGTTGGTAGCAGCAACTAAAATCTCGAAAGGGAAATGCTTTTTCTCTTGATGAGCTATTTTCTGCAAGTCATCTCCATTCCGTGTATCTGATCAGACCAAAAAAAAAAACCCAGAAATCACCAAACATGTAGAAAAGCATCAAACTTTCTTCTCACCAAACATGTATAGAAAAGCATCAAACTTTTCTTCTTCAATTTTTGTAATTTTCCCATTAAAAAATACTGGGTTTTTTCATATTACCATTGCCTGAGTTGAACTTGAAAGGTTTTATTAGATTTCGCAAGAACTCCTTGGATTTGCTCATCAGATTTAGAAACTCAACAAATCTGGAAGTGAGGAACTAAGCACCATGAAATAAAAGGATTTTCTAAACCGAATTATAACAGCAAATAAATTCTGGGGGGAAAATTGGAGCTTTTACAGTTGGAAGAACGAGAGGAAAGCTTTAATGACAACTTTTCTGAGGTACTACGTTTTCGTGTTCGTTTGTCGAAGGCGCAAAACAGAGAAATGTATGTGCATATGAACGTAACGTGTTGACTACCTCTTTGAGACTGACTATTTCTCTATTGTCATCTTGTGTTTTCACTTTCCTTTAAGCTTTCGTTTCTACTTTTACCACCATAAAAACAATGATAAATTAACCGGCTTTCTTCCATCGTATCGTTCCGGCCGGTCACTGATACCGCCGGTGATCCTTATATGACGCCGCCGGTAATACAAAAAAAACCTTGTTTCACCCTTTTTGTCCCTCGTTTATTTCGAAAAAAAAATTTAAAGATAAGATAACGAGTCCGTCCCGAATTTGCTTTTGGCGAGTTAACTCGTTCACTACCATCTTCTCCGATTTCGAGTTCAACGTTACAGTTCCAAATCCATAATTTTAAGTAATATATATTTCTTTTGAGTTTAATAGATGGAGACATTCCTGATAATAGGATAAAGAAATGAGAAACCAATGAAGAAAGCGCAGTTACGTTGCAATCAGTTGTTGTTTTATGCTTTAAAATTCAAAGGATTTATACAAATATTAATTTTATATAATACTAATTTTATAAGGATAAAATACAAAAACGATATCTCGACTATAAGATATTATTTTGTTAAATATCTAGATTATTAAAAGTTATAAAATGATCATTTAATTGTAGGGAGTCACTTTGTTGCATCGATCAACTATTAAAATTTACAAAATTATCACTTGACGATTCATATATTTCAAACTCATTATTTTTCGTTAAAAATTTGATAGTCGTCTGAGTTGGATGTTATCATACTAACTGAGATATAAAAGTCGTTTGATATTCTAAGATCATATTTTATTATATATCAATCAACATGTTAACGTCTAGCTCAAATTATCATTAATTTTTAACAAAAAATAACTAATTTGGAATTTATTAATGGTCATGTGACCATTTTATTACTTTAATAGTTGGGGAACCCAACAAATCAACAACAGAGGACAATTGTATAACTTTTGCTAATTGAGGGGTTTAAAAAAATAAATACTATAGTTGAGAGACCATTTGATACTTTACCCTTTTTATAAATAAAGAGGGGTAGAAGAGGATTAGTTATCGACGTCATTTGCGTAAGCAAAGCAAGAGACGTGTCATGATAACATTAGTATTTGAATTTTACAAAGGAAAAGTCCACTAATTTCCCACCTGCTAATTATATAGCTAAAAGATCAAATATTTTTTTAAGAAATGCTCATGCGTAAATGAATTGTATTTTAACGAATAAAATTATATTTGTTTTGTTTATTTATTTTTAAAGATATATATATTCGATTTATGTTTATTTGAAATTTTAGTATCATATCATCCTAAAAAATGTATTCTAGGGACAACCGGCCCCACCCATCCCATCTAGGTCCATCCATGCATATTCATATTCATTTATTTATTTTTAAATGTGTTAATGTTCGTTAGATTAACGTTTGCATACATGTTCATTTAAAGTTCATGAACATATTCGTTTGATGTTCGGTAACCAACATTATCTTTTTAATTTTTTAAGTTTATTAGGCTTCATAGTTTGAATTTTAAAGTTCACTTTAATATGTAAAAAAATAAAATGAAAATGAGTATCGAGTAAACAATTTTATAAACAATCGATAAAAGAGTTGATAAAAAGTTTATTCGTGAACATAAACGAATCGAACACACATATGTTCATATTTGTTCGTGTATTAAATGAATATAAAAATTTTATCCATATTTATTTAGTTTAATAAACGAACATTATACAAATAATTTGTCGAACGTTGTTTTCATTTACACCTTAAAAATGCTTATGTGCTTTAGTCTTAAAAAAGTATTTTATATCACAAATATTATTATTTTATTGCATTATTTCTTTTTTAATTATGAGAGGAAGATGTACGAACCAAACGACCTTAGTGGTATAAGAATTGTTGTTATTTCTAAAGGTTTCGGATTTGAGCATCATGAATGTGAATGTTCAATGTCAAATGATTGTAAGTTATTTTTAAATATATACTATCTATTTTAATTATAAGATGAAGATACACGACCAAGCGACTTCACTGACAAAGTAATTGTTATTTCTTAAGGTCTCAAATTCGAATATCATAAATATTAAGGACGTGAGCGTTCAATATCAATTAATTTATAATTATCTTTAAATATATATTATATTGTAATTACTTATCATTTCGAGAAAATAATAAGTCCATACTTTTACGTTAATTTCTTTGCGGATACATTTCATGCTTTTAAATTTCAATGTATGGAGAGCATCCGTGGGTTATTAAAGGAAATGATAAGAAATTTTTAAAAGTTAAAAAAAGTTTTTATTTCAGAAAATTAATTAGGAAAATATATTATTTTAAATGTTTGATTTAATAATAAATATTTAAATTATTATTTTTATTATTTTAAATATCTAACATTTTATTATATTATCATTTTAAGATTTAATTATCAATATCCATAACAAAAATTTATCATTCAATAAATATATGACATGCACTTTGATTTTGATTTTGATTTAAAAAAACTCAAAAAAAATCTTTGTTGGGACTCACCCATCTAAGTCAGGTGCAGGTCTCCAGTTTGAGCCATTGTGTATGTAGAAAATCCTCGTTGAGAGATTTATCCACCCAATAAAGTGAATGATCCATATTGTTCCGGATTAATTAGAGAGAAACCTTGAGAACCGAGAGGATAAGAAAAAAGAAATCTTAATCCACAAAGTCTACCTATTTGTGTTAAATTAATCACGGCAAAAGTGCCCAAATAATGATGTTCTACAGGATTTTGGGATCTCTCGGCATCTTTAGGGTAGACCTTGCGTCTTTGAGTGAATTCAATTGTGGAAATCCCGGCGTCTTTAGCATTTAAAAAAGTTGACATTTTTACACAAATATCATCTTAACATAAATTAATTACTTGTTAGGCACTGTTTAAGAATATTTTACAGATCTAATATATTTTAAATATTTTCTATAAAATTATTCATGCATTAAATTACACAATACAATTATGTCTACCAATTACTACTTGACATTTTCTGATGCGTTTTTGACCTTTCAAAATCCTATACGTATAATATATTCTAGGATTTTGAAAAATAATTTTGCAGAAAGACGCGACACATTCGCCGCATAGGATTTTGAAAAATAAATATTAGTTATAAATATTTATAAAATTTTATAAATATTTTTCAAAATTCTATGCGGTACATGTACCGCGTCTTTCTGTAAAAATTATTTTCAAAATGATGATGATCTGTAATATTTTATAAAATTATTTATATTTTAAATTATTTACCCTCAAAGTTTCGTAGAATATACTATACGTATAGGATTTTAAATGGTCAAAAACGCATCAGAAAGTGTCAAGTGGTAATTGGTAGATATAATTGTATTATGTAATTTAATGCATGAATAATTTTATAGAAAGTATTTAAAAATATGCTAGATCCGTAAAATATTCTTAAACAATGACTAACAAGTAATTTTTGTTAAGGTGATATTTGTGTAAAATAACTAATTTTTTTCCTAAAATCCCATTAAGACGCCTAGAAATCCATTAACAATGAAAAGAGCCGAGAGATCTCAAAACTCTATAAAAAAAACACTATATCAAAAATTAATCAGATGAGTACATTACTTTAGGAATTAAAAATTCCCACATTATTATTTGGGCACTTTTGCCAATTAATCACCACCTATATTTGATGCCATCATACTCCCGTAAATTAATCACCCTCTTACTGTTGCACGAAATTCCTAGATTATTTTAAACAACCATGGGTTCAAGTGACACAGACTATCCATTTGATTCAAGTGATAATGCAGATTCATCAACGACGATGAACTAGTGACTAACGATTGGGTGAACGATAAAGTAGGGTCTGAAGGATTTAAATATTTCGTACGATGATAAGACGACAATCAACTAGTGGAGGTCCGAAGACGAAAGGGTGGATGGTGAAAGTTGATTTAACAACATAGATTCACCGTCACCGTTGAATCAATTAGTGATTTAAGAATTTGAGGATTAATGATAGAGATATTTAGGGGAAAAAGGGAATTTAAGAATCTAAAGTTTGTTTCAAAAAACATACATGACATGTAACTTAATTTTTTTATTTGCTTTTATGAATGGCAAAAATGTCAGAATAATGCGGTATGAGAATATTTTTCTCTTATAATAACGTGGTTTCAACATTATTTCTCTTTCTACACGTCTAAATACCCTAAAATATCTCGGCGTCTTCAGGCTAAAATTTTACTCCATAGGATTATTTGATGTCTTTTGTAAAATTCTTTCCATGTGCATTTTTGGAGATTTTCCCAAAAAATCACTTTTTCCGTAAATATTTACGTGTCAGATACCATTTGAGATAATATTCTCGATCTAACACCCTTTAATTTATATATTATTTATTTAATTGTTTTAGGTTTTTTTACAGATATAATACTGTCTCCCTTTCAAACTCTAAGAATGCAGCGAATTTCAGCTATTGTTTATTATGATGGAAAAATTCGGGAAGATGAAATCGACGTTATTTTCGTATCAAATCATTATGTTAAAATATCATTCAAGAGAAACATAACTCTTGAGGAGGTGATAATGAAGATTTCAAGGAATGTTCATGTTGGAAGTACTAGAAGAATGTCGTCGTTTCAGTACAGATTTTCAACATCATTGTTTCCGTTAACTTATACAGATTTCCATCCAAACGAAGCAGATCACCTTCCATTTTATAACTGCAAAAAAATAAAATACTAAAAAATAAATAATACAATAATTAAATAAAATACTAACAAAATATTAAATATAATAAAATATCCTTATAAATGAAATTTGAACGAGGTTTGGTTTTTTAGAGGATTTGAGAGAATTTGAGAGGATTTGTTGTGGTGAAAATAGTTGAGGGAGTGTATTTATAGGGTGGGATGGAGGGTGTGAACGGTCAGTGGGATC